GTCAAGTGCTTGCTAGGAGCCAGACTTCATACTCTAGCTATCTCATTAATCTTTAGGATAGACTTACACAATCAGCGTTACAATTCCTGTTTTACAGAGGATAGTAAGAGCATTATGGTCACAAAACTAAGACACAGAGGGGCTAACTTAAAACCCAAATTTGTAACTCCAAAACGTTTAATTTATTGCAACACCAATTCTTAACTCACTACCAGGAGTTTAGATTCATAGGAAAACAGGTTTCTCTGTCACAGACTAGAGAAGGAAGGGCCTAGAATACAGCTCAAAATGAGGAAGCTAGTGTTCTGCAATAAGGAAAGCTTGGGGATATCCAGTGCTTGTTTTCTCTTTTCCCCTAGACCAGACAAAAGGTGTCACACAATAGGACAGTGTAATAATGGTGAAATCCATATGGAAAGCATTGTGGCATTATACCTTTTATATAGGATTTGGATCTAGAATGTTTTAGAGGTTGATTTCTACTTTTTTCTGTAGCTATGTCATCTTAAGCAAATTATATATCCTGTTTACCTGTTTCTTCATCTACAGAAAGAGAGTAATACAATCTGTCCTTATTATATGTAGATTCTGAATTTCCAAATTCATTTACTCACTAAAGCGAATTTTGTAAACAATTGGTTGAAGTATGAATGCCATATAAAAAGCTGTACATAAATTGATGTATATATCTAGGTGTGTTTGGGGCTAACTACACACCTGCTGAAACCATTACCACCATCAAGGCCATAAACATATCCTTATACCTCCCAAAGTTTCCTCCTACCCTCGTTTTTGTTGTTATTTTTTGTAAAAACACAACATAAGATCTACCCTCTTAGCAATTATACAATAGAACATTGTTAGCATAGGGACTGTATGTATAGTCAATCTCCAGGACTAACTTACCTTGTTCAACTGAAATCTACCCTTTGCCCATCACGTCCCCATTTCCCTATTGTCTCATCTCCTGGCAACCACCATTCTACTTTCTTCTTCTATGAGTGTCTATTTTAGATTTCGCATATAAGTGAGGTCATACAGTATTTGTCTTTCTCTCTGACTTTTATCACTTAACATATTGCCCTCTAGGTCCATCCATGTTACAAATACCAGGATTACTTTTTCAAGGTGGAATAATATTCCATTGTGTATGTATGCTACAGTTCATTCATCTATTGATGGACATTTAGGTTGTTTCCATATCTTGGTTATGGTGAATAATGTTGCAGTGAACATGGGAGTGCAGATATCCCTCTGAGAACTTTATTTCAGTTCTTTTGTATATATACCCAGAAGCAGGACTGGTGGATCATACAGTATTTTTATTTTTAATTTTTTGAGGAAATTCCAAACTATTTTTCATAATGGCTATACCAGTTTACATTCTAGCCAGCAGTGTTCAAGAGTCCCCTTTTCTCCATATTCTTGCCTATATGTTACCATTTGTGTGTGTGTTTTAAATAATGGCCATCGTAACTTGTGTCAGGTGATGTCTCATTGTGATTTTGATTTACATTTCTCTGATGGTTACTGATTTTGAGCACCTTTTCATGTACTTGGCTTTAGTATGTCTACTTTGGAGAAATGTCTATTCAGATTCCTTTGTCCATTTTTAAATTGGATTATTTGCTTTTTTTTGTTATTGAGTTGTATGGGTTCCTTGTTTATTTTGGGTATTAACTTATCAGATATGTGGTTTGCAAATATTTTCTCCCATTCTGTAGACTGCCTTTTCATTTTTTTTCATTTCCTTTGATATGCAGAAGTGTCTAAGTTTGATGTAATTTGCTTACTTAGTTTTGCTTTTATTCTTGTGCCTTTAGTACCAGAAAATCATTGTCAAGACCAATGTCAAGGACCTTTTTAACCTATGTATTTTTTCAGGAGTTTTATGGTTTCAGGTCTTTAGTTCAAGTCTTTGATCCATCTTGAGATGATTTTTGTGTATGGTATAGGAATCCAGTTTCATTCTTTTTCATATACATATCCAGTTTCCCCAGCACCATTTATTGAGGACACTATTCTTCCTCTATTGTGTATTCTTGACACTCTAGTCAGAAATTAGTTGACCACATATGCTCTCCCTTCTGTTCCATACATTTATATGTCTGTCAGTATGCCAGTACCATATACTAGTTTGATTATTATAGCTTTATAATATGATTTGAAATCAAGTTTTGTTCTTCTTGTCCGAGATTGTTTTGGGATTGTTTTTCTATTTCTATAAAAATGCCACTGGGATTTTGGTAGGGATTGTATTACATCTCTAGATCACTTTGGGTAGTATGGACATTTTAACAACATTAAGTCTCTGAATCCATGGATACAGGTATTCTTCCATATATTTCTATCTGTTTTAATTTCTTACATCAATGTTTTACAGTTTTCAGTGTACAGATCTTTCATCTCCTTAGTTAAATTTATGCCTAATTATTTTATTTTTATTCATATTACCCCAAAATGAATGCTTGTGAGGCTTTAAGGTCACAGAAGTGCAAATAGTATGAGATGTTCAATGTGGTAGTTCCCTCCCAGCTGAGGGTGGTGAAGGCAATACTCTACCTTCCTGTTTCAGCTCTCATACTGTAAACAAGTGTCCTCTGCTTGGTCTACTTAGTGGCCAGTTGGCAAGTTTTTCCACATTGTTTTGTGTGTGGTTTTTTTCTTTCTTTCGGTGGCTTTGCTGTTTAAAATGGCCCCTAAGCATAATGCCAAAGTGCTGAGTATATGCTAAGTTATCCTAAGTGTAAAAAGGCTATGGTATACTTTACAAAGAAAATATGCATGTTAGATAAGCTCTGTTCAGAAAGTGTATTGACTATGACTTCAGTGTTAATGACTCAACAATATGGCACACCCAGGAAAAGGAAGAGGAAATTTGTCTATCTGTATATAAGGCCACTCCGAAAAGTGCAGATATTATCTATAGATGTGATGAAGCTATAGGAAACATGGAAATACAGATAAATTTGTGATTCATGAGATGAATTTTAAAAAGCTTAGTCCCAAATATTTCTGTTAATAGTTAAAGGATGCTCCCCTATTATTAAAATTACTCACTTAAATTATCATTTTTTTCTCCTAAAGAATTTATAAGTCACTAGAGCAGTGAATTTATTAGATTAGTTATTCAACATCCAGCATAGAAGAGTCTTTGGGGACTAGATTATAGGAAGGATAGATTCGGGCAAATATCTCGTTCAGTGTCTCTGAGTAGACTTGTATCACTCATGGGGTGGTAATAGGGAAGAAGTAGATTATGCAGGAAAGCCCTGAGTGCCTATTAAAGGTTAGCGCAGTTCAGGATGTGAAGAGAGAACATATAGGTGGATAGTAAGAGTCTAAAAGGATACATTTACTTGTTTGCTTTTTTTCACAAATTTTCCCAGAGTCTTGTTGAGGATTACAAGAAATTATTTTATTGATATGCCTCATACCATAAAAATTCAGTCCATTTGGCTCAAAATAATAGTTGTGGTTATTTAGAATTTGTGCTAAAAGCTGTTTGTGTTTCATCAAATTGCTTTATATTCATTAATTGAACAATTACTCAAACTGAAAATGTGTCTCTTAGGAAAATGTTAAAAAATAGTCATAAAGAACATAATCCTCACTAAGAACTATTATTCCAAGTGTGACAAGCTTTGTTTTGTCTTATAGAAAACAGAGATGTGATTTGGTATTAAGTCAAAATAAATGGGTTATGACACATTCCACCCTTTAAAATATTCCAAGTCTGGTGGGATAAAAGGAGGAGATCTGCAGATGGTAGGCCGAGCAAAGGCATCTAATGAACCTAGCGTTGCTACATAGCAACAGCATTAGCATTTCATTTGCTGGAATGAATTATTGGAGTTTTTCACTTTTTCAAAAGGTTTGTGCACTGATCTTTATGCAGCAGTGTAACTAATGATTAAAAATGAACAAAGGCTTGAAAAATAGGACTTATTAACAAAGGTTACAAGACCTGAAATGATTAAATCTGGGAGAAGGCTGGTGGAGTCATTTAGTCAGGAATTTTCAGAGCCTGAATGAGGACTGTCCAGAAGATAGTAACTGGCTGTTCTTTTTCTCTGTGGAATATATTAATAGCTCTCAAAAGATATCAACCTGAGCTACTATAGGAGTTACTGGGGTGAATTATGAGAAAGAACCTCCTCCCTATTTTGACAGGAAAAATTAAGATAATTTAGCAAAGATGTACAAACTCAATCCCCTAAGAGTTTTTCTTGACCCTCCCCCTAAATTAAAACCAATTCTCTTTTTACTGAGAAATATAGGAACAGTCTTGTCTGAAGATAGGGGACCAAATGATGTTTTGATGTCTGTTTTCAATAGGTTTGGTCATTTCAGTCATTGCAGTGTGCTCAATATATAGTGTGCTATATAAGCCTACTACTATTCTAAGAGTGTATGCCTTTATTCTTTTTATAAGAAAGATCTCAAATTAGAGGTTGAAATGTAAAAATAACGATTGCCTTAGCCCTAAGGAATTCTTACAGCATATTCATTTTTCTTGCCCCCTATAACTACAAGTTCATTATTAGCAAAAGCAATTTTATTCATATTTCCTTTCTTGCTTCCTCCTCCTTTGTCCCCCTCCTTCTTCCTCTCTCCCTTAATCTAACCCATGCAGAGTGGCTACTTGAGGGAATGGTTTTATGAATAAAGACTACATCCTTTACTCAAGAGCCTTGGTGTGCGATTATAGATTAAAGCTTTCATTTTGAAAGTCAGAGCAATATACAGCCATAAAAATAGCAGTAGCAGCATTATTTTAATTACTGCATGTGGAAGCATAAGAAGATTCAAGACAAATACAGCACTGGAGCTTACAGGCTTTAAGAGCTGCACTCTGGCTAATTGCACCAGTGTTCATGCTGTGGCCAAATGGCCACCTTTGGGGGAAAGTCACAGAGGTTATTCCTTTGTCAGCTATTGGTGTCACTGAGTCTGTGCTCCTCATCATCCCTCTGTTCTGTTGTCTGGTTTTGTTTTAGATCCCACAGGTACTCTCTTCCCCACCACATACTGGCACTGTGACTGCCTCATCCTTCCCTACAAGCATTTACCACATAGTCCTCAGTTGCTGTTTCCAGGTAAGCTAATATGAATACCCCATGCAATATTTAGGACCTACATTAAAAAATTACTTGTTGTTTGTCTGAAACTCAAATGTAACTGACATTTGTTCTGTAATTTTATTTGCTAAATTTGACAACCCCATATCTAGATGGCATTATGATTAAAAAGATGGTGTTAAATGTGACTATTTAAAATGGATGGTGTCTGTTGGAAACCCACAGTAGTGAATACTGAAAATTCTTCAAACACAGCAATATGGGACAAACAATGTTTGGCTTAGAAGGAGTTAATGATTTAAGGGTGAGCATCATGTAATAGAGTAAGAAACGGCATGAGCTCAATTTTGTTGCCTAACCAAAGTGATCAGGAAAATAAAATGTGTAGACTGATCTATAGTTTTGGTATGGACCATAGATTTTTTTTCTTAACAGAATAAGAACGTTGTGATTGTTTGTTTTTTTGAACCTATGAAACTAAAAAGAGATGGTTTTGGAGGACAGGTGACTCTCTGTGAGCCAGAGTGGGAAGGATACATGTTGATCACTAAATGCTCTTGCCTGGAGTGATGCAAGTGGGGTATGTATCCATTTTTGGTAAATGTTCTGTATGTATTCAAGAAAAATATGTGTTCTACTGTTTTTGTACAGAGCATACTTTAAATGTCACTTAGGTCAAGTTAGTTGATGGTGTTCAAGTCTACTGTAGTCTTGCTCAATATATACTTGTTCCAACAATTATTGAGAGAGGGTGTTAAAATATCTGATTATACTTTGGATTTCTCTTCTTCTGAAGTTCTATCAGTTTTTGCTTCATGGATGTTGAAACTGTTATTAGAGGACTAAATATTTAGTATTGCTTTATCTTCTTGATGAACTGACTGACCCTTTACCCTTTACTTTTAATGCAATGATCTTCTTTTTTTCACAAAACAAACTTCATTTTGGAATGTACTTTGTCTAATATTAGTGTAGCCACCAGCTTTCTTTTTATTAGTTTTCAGATTATATCTTTTTCCATTCTTTCATTTTTACTCTATTTTTGTCTTTAAAGTATATTTCTTATAGGCAGCACATTGTTGGGTTTTGTCCAGCATGATAATCTGTGCCTCTTAATTAATTGTGTTTAGATCAGTAATATTTAGTGTGATTACTGATGTATATTTAGTGTGAATATTTAGTGTGACATGATGATATTTGGGCTTATCATCTTGCTAAGTTTTTTCTATATATGCCAGTTATTCTTCCCCTTTTCCTTTTATTCTGGCTTCTTTGAGATTATATTTTGTAGTGCCACTTAATATTTTTGTTGCAAATTAACTGTAACTCTTTGTTTTATTGTTCTCATGATTGCTTTAAGCATATATCCAATTTAGTAGAACTCTCCTTGTTGTTGCCCAGACCCACTAAAAATCCTCCCAGGTCAGTGCCTTGCTTTCTTGGTCCCTCCTGACAGAAATGCTCTCTTGACGCATATATCTGCATGGCTTACTCTCCCATTTCATTTGGTCTCTACTTAAAGACCAGTTTTTCAGAGAAGGCCTTCCTGACCTCCACATCTAAGGCCACTCCCAAAACCTGGCTTGTCACTACTTTTAATCCAGCTCAATTGTTCTTCATAGCCTTTATCATCTCATGATTTATTTGTATTTGTTCATCATCTCTTTTTCTCCATTGGGCATGTAAGTTTCATTAGTGACTTTGTTCACTGCCTAATTTCTAGTATGTAGAAAAGTGCTTGACATATTAAGCCCTTAATATCTATTCGTTGAGTGAATGAATGAAAGAAAGATTCCAAGTTGGGAGATACCTAATCTGCTGCAGTATCTGATCACCAGAATGCATTTGCCTGAAGTAGCTGGAGAGATGAGCTCACCTTCATCTCAGTTACTGCTCTGACTAGTCCTCTCAGAGGTACCATACTGGAAAAGGATAACCTTTCTAGTTAGAAGAGGAACACCCACTGGTGAGGCAATTGTGAGGATAAAAGTGTTTGCAGGACATTTTGGAGCTTCTTCCTGGTGTCTTTGCACTGTGTAGCTCCCAAACCCCACTTCTTTCTTCTTTCATATACATACTCTAGATTACTTTTGTCACAAGTTTCTCAACCCCTCAAAGTGCAAACTTCTGATCTTCAGTATTTCAAGGTCAAGGACTATTTTTCAGAAAATAAATAAATAATGATGTGTATGAGGGAGAGAGAGAGAGAGAGAGAGAGAGAGAGAGAGAGACATAGAGAATGATAAAATGTAGTATTTTGGAAATCTGGATGAGCAACCATAGGAATTCTTCATATTAACTTCCACAACATTTTTTAAAGTCTGAAATCACATCCAAACAAGAAGTAAAGAGAATAACTTCAAGCATCTTCTCTTCTACCTCTTTCTCTAATTCCTCTACACCAGTAGGGTCACAAGTCCTGTTGTTTCTAGCTTGTCATCTGACTTTGTAGCCATTGCCTTATTTTATATTCTTAGGGCTGTCCCCCACTTACTTTTCATGCTGCTCTCATATCCTTCTACCTAGAATCTTGCAACAGTCTCTGGAACTGGCCTTCCGAGGCGGTCACTCCTGGCTGACGTCTACTCCTCAAACAGCTACAGGAATGCTTGGCCAGACGTGCAGGTCTAATCTTATGTCTCTTCTGCTCGTGAGCCTGTGCTTTCTCCTTGTTGCTCACAGAACGGAGTGCCAGCTCTCAGCTTCACAGCCCTGCACACTTAGCCCCGAACACTCTGGTCAGACATAGTTCACCCCCTGCCCCTCCGTATCAATCCCATTTGATTCCCTGACATTCCAAGAACACACCCACACTTTTCTGTTCTATTTGCAGTCTCCCATCTCTTTCTGTTGAAGGACTGACTTCTTCAGATTTTACCTCCTTTTGATGTCTTCTCCCTAGAAGTCCAAGAAAACCACATGATGGTGTTAAGTTGGTGAGCGATTATGTTCAGAATAGTTTAGAAATGTTCTGCCACTGTTGAAACCATGCCTTTTCTTATATCCTGAAGTAGAGGTGCTTATGCAGGTTTCTATATTTAACAATCCTACTGTAAAATATTGTCACAAGCACCCTTTCTATAGGACCTGCGATTCACACCCAGCATAATTGTGGACTGGCTAATTTAAAAGTCAAAGAAAAATATTTTATGAAATTTTTGTGTGTTGACTACTCTAATTTTTTTGGTCACAGATTCCAATCACTGGAATCAGATATTGGAATACATCTGTTTTTGAACAGTGCAAAAGAAAAATACATGGTGATTTCTAAAATCTTTATCAATTTTCTTGGCTATAAAGATTTTCTGTTGCCTGAAATCTGTGTGAGTGATAGTAATTTAATGAAGATTCAAAACAATGTGACATAGAACAATTGTTGACATTGTACTGTGTGGTTAAGAGCTCCAATGTTGGATGAAATATTTTGAAACGTTCTATAAGCAAGCATATGTGACTTGATTTTGTAAATTCTTGCCCTATGCAAATATAAGTAAGAGTTCCTTTCTTCTGTTTTATGATCTGTTACAATAGCTTTTGTGAACTGAAAAATAATAGTGTTTAAAAATCCACTGAAAGTAAGTAAAGATCCACTTGTTTTTTTTATTCACTCTTCTTGAGTATTATTGTTCTCTTAAAATTAGTAGTGTTTTTCTAATACATTTATGAGATGGACATTCAATTCCAGGGAAAATCCATTTTTATTCTATTTATTTTATCTCAAGAGACTTAAGATTTCATTTTCCCTAGTTATTTGGAGGTCTAACTTAATTTTCAAGCCATTAAAGATTATTTAATTTTGTCTTGGGCTTTGTCATGGAAAACTAAATTCATGGCTGTTTTTAATCACTCACAAATCCTGTATCTCTTCAGTCCTCCTAAATTTTGAAAGATTCCAGAAGTCTTTGGAACTCATTTCCATATATACTCCTGACCATAATCTGTGTGAGTGGTCAGTTCTGTTTACTGTTGCTGTGTTTCTCCTTACAGAAGGGGTCAGTGTAACTCCATAGAAAGGGCCAAGCAATGCCCAAAGGGCAATAAAGACATTCAAGTCTGTGGGCACTGAGACAGCCCAGCATGGATGGACTACAGACCCTTGACATGTACCTGTTAGTGACAGTTTCACTGGACTCACACAGTCTAGGGGACTTTTATGTTTTTGGAATCCTTAATTGCCCGGGGATATCTCAAGGACCCTTTCTGGGTTTTAAACACATAGAGATTCCTTGAATATGACTCAAATAACTTACTCCTAAAACTTTCCTATAGTAACTTCCCTATACTTACCTTGTTCCTCCCTCTGCCCCGGTTCCACTTTCCTTGTCAGTTAAGCTTTGAACCATTTTTGCTTGAGGAGTTGGAGTAATTTGGCAGCTACTTCACAGCAACAATAGGAAAGGGCCTCATGTGTGTTCACGCCACTTCAGTTCTTATCTGCTTGCCCTTATGGGATCACACTCAGCCTGTTAATTGTACCTTGTTCTCACCAGCTACTTGTGCCATTGTAATAATTGATTTCTGCTAATGAAGCAAGAGTATATTTTAATAGCAGTACATTTATTTGCTGAGACAAAAAATTCTAAATTATGTGCTTTATGTCCCAGAAGTTATACAGAACCACTCTTATTAAATATTATACATACATCATAGTATTCTCCACAGCACTTTTCACTCTGATTCTTTTAGTCTTTGCTCATTACAGAGCAGTCTAATCACTCCCTGCTTATTCCTTCCACTGTGGGCTTGCCACTGCCTGCACAGGCTTGCTCACCAGCATTCCTGCAATCCCTACACTCTGATTTGCAAACTTTTAAGCCAGTTTGGGCTTCTAAGAATAGTTTGCCCCAGGCACAGACAAATCCCTTCTCTAAGATCTGAGCCTGCTTACTCCCCAGTGAAAGAAAACCTTCTTACCTAGAAACTTAGCAAGGACTACCCTCTGACATTCATACTTAGGCCAGCAGTGCCATTCTTCTTCCAGTCTCAAATCTCAGAGTCCTTTTGATTCTTCTTTCTTC